TTTAAGCAAGGACACACTGCCAGCTTGAAAGGAAATAAAGGCCACACTTAGTCTATAGGGGAATCCTGCAGTTATTCCCCTGCAAATCTAATTCAAACAGGTATTGAGATCTGAAACATGGAGATAGCCACAAATTAGAGGATACTTGGTTTTTAGAAGGGAAAGAAAGAAATCCAGGCCATAGAGAACCATCTCAAAGCAGCAATAGTGGTTCCTTTTCATGTTAATCATGGTATTCCTATGAACATGTTTTGACAGTCTATACTATAAATGAAATTTCTTGAGACCTTTATATGAAATTCATGTATTACATATTTAAACTTAGAAAGTATTGTCTTCAAGCAAGTCAATTTTTTAAAAAGCACGTCTTTGTAAAATGTGCAAATCTGTACCATTTCAATACTTTGCCTTTAATTGTTATACGAATGTGCCATTCAACTGATTTTATGATTCTTTTAAGAAACACAGGGTCATTTGAATTTTATCATTCGAAAATATCACCATCATCTTAAAAGGATTTATTTAGGAAAATCTCTATTGGAACATATCTTATTTTTTTCTAGCAATTTAAGATTCTGCTTGACTTTAAAAATGATAACTCTCCGAATATTTATTATATGTTAATTGTAGGATGGACTAACAGATTGTGCTTGAGCCCGTCCATTACATGAGGAAGATTTCTGTGAGAAATCCTTTTATTTGACTTGTTATTAGGGTCCCAAACCAACTTATAAACAAAAATCTCCAAAGGAAGTGTTAATGTATTTAAACAGGAATGTGATTCTGTAATGAAGTAGTCATTTGTCACTGCACATCATGATAAAACTTAATGAAAATTAGTCTAGAGTCTTTTAATCACCAGCTTCCAAAAAAGCTATTTTGTCAAATAACTGCAATGGTTTAACACAACCAATGTCAAGAGGTATGACCAAGGTGAATAGAAACACTTAAATCCAAAAAGTTTAAGGGAATTCTGAATCATATTGAAACTCAATACTGTTTTTTACATTCTAAAAGCTATTAGCCTCTGCCAACAGTTCAAAATACAGATAAAAATTTTAGGGGGTCACCATAATAAATTTTACCTTGTTTAGCACTTTCCTTGTAAGACTCCATTTCTAACATAAGGGCCTGAAATAAAGGCCTGAATTAAGGTAGTATGGCAATTCCTTTTTAGTAATGAAATTGGAGCATTCTTATATGTAGTCCACATCTCATTACGGTGCTGACATTAATCCTGCAAGACTTTGAAGTTACTATATTCCATGAAGTATTCAATAACAAGATCACTAATGTTCACCTCAAGATATATATAATGACCACTTGATTCTTACCTCTCAGGCCCCAGTAACCCAGACTACTATAATCAGACATGTATCAGTGTCTTATCAACTGGTTTCAATTAATTGCATGTACATCACATAAAATGTGGCCCATAGCCAATAAATGCATTAGAAAGCAATAAAAGAGTAGCTGAAGTTCACACACACACACACACACACACACACACTGAAATTACAGCATCTTTTAGAAAAACAAATGTGTAACAAGACTGACAGATGCTATCAATGAAAGTGATCCGAAGCCACCCAAGTCCTGAAATGGTCTGTGGGGTAGGCAATTGTTTTCTTAATTAGCTACCAACTCTTCACTGTGGGCTCCTTTCCTAGTTAAATCCTGGACTTTAGGAATGAAGCAACTACAGCGAAAGGCTTCAGTGCTCAGTGGGGACAAAAGGACCAAGGCTGTAAATTCAGGCTGACAAATGAATACCCCAGACAAACCGAAAAATCTGCTCCAGCCGTTTTGCATATGTTTGACACTGGCTGGCTTTGAGATTAAAAATATGACTTTCTGCCCCCACAAAGTTTAAGTGAAAATGGCTTGTTTTTTTTTTAAAGCATCAGAAGGCTTTCAAACTATATATACATTTATTGCAAAAGCTGAATCAAGCAGAGCGTGAGGGGGGAAATGGACTCCAATTGTTAGCTGGTTTAAAAAATAAAATGGGCAAACCAAACCGTCTGAAAATAAGGTTTGTCATGGAAACAGCATGTTAATGGGACTGTATTCCCAGTAGCTTTATGGTTTTCCAGGCAAGTCTTATTTTGCCACCAGTATTGAAACAAAGAATACACTGCCTTTCAATATGCTACATAGTTTAAAATAAGTTATTTTCTAGAAACAAAGCCTGGTGGTGACTTAAAAATGTTTTTTAAAGCTATTTCAACATGGCATTATAAAGCCTTTCTGCATCAAATCTATATTAATATCATATAAAGGACACCCACAATAAGAATGCTTTATATTTATTTCTTGGCTAGAGACTAATAATTATAAAAAAATTTTTTCCTAGAAATTATCTGATCTAATTACCTAGTGAGGAGACATGCTTTAATTTGGCCTAAGAATTGCTAATTTTTTTGTGTCTATACAATAAAATCTTTTCAGGTACCTACTATAATTAGACAAGTGAAACAAAGAAAAAAAGAAAATAAAATTGCATCTTGGTACTTAAAGTTGAATGCTATATTTTCAACTAGATACAATTTTTTCACTTGCCTTGAAAAAAACGCTGACTTAAAAGACAATTGTGTTATAACCATGAAAGTAATTCTATTGTATCGATGGTCTTCATTTCAGCCCCTTGTCATTCTACCACAAAATCTTCCATGGTTAAGTTAAATAAAGATATTTTTTTTTTAGTTTGTAAGGGAATAAGAGACTTGCTTGCAAAAGGTGTTTAAGGTTTTCCAGCTGACATTTTCCATTTCTAATAATCTTATTCCTATATTGAAAATGTATAAGTAAACTTGGCATCTATTTCACAAAAATTAGTGTATATTATATACATTCTACATATACATAAATTCTAAGAGTAGACCAACTGGATAATTCTTCTGGAAGAGGTTTCTTGAACATTATAAAAATGGAGTCTTCAGAAGCAAACAACATAACAGCCTTACACACCCAACATTTTAAGCTACTTAAAATGCTTAAAAATACACAGTTAACCATTTATTGATAGCCTATTTATGGTTTTGGAATAACCAAGATTATGGAAAAGATAATACCTCACAAAAATTGTGACAAAGTGATGGCTGATAATTTAAAAATAAATCTCCAGACTGTAAAAAGTCATGTAAATTCACCCCTTGAAAGAAAAAAAAAAACTTTAGCATTAAAATTAGAGTCCTTTTTTTAATAATCCTCTTTTGAGTAAAGAAATAATTTTCAAACTTCTATTTTATATTGTCACTGTCATGAGAGCAGATCTTTTCTAGGGACTCCACATCAATCACAATGCAAATTGGATGATTCTTTCGAAGGACCTAATGGTCAAGGCTAGTTTTTCACTGAATTCCTGAATTTACACACTGTGGGATTAGCTACGAGATACTAAAATGTAAAGATAGTTCATACAGTTTCAGCTCTATTGTTTTCAGGCACAAAAACCATATAATTTTGTATAAAACTTTGATTTTTTTATTTGTGAAATTAAAAATATGGTATTATATATATATATGTATATATATATATAAACTTCTATTCCTCTATAAATATAGATGATTTTTTGATAGTGAGCAGAATAAATGCATACCAAATCCAAAGACCATTGTCATTTTAGGGTATGACAGACATAGATAAATTTAGGTCCTAAGTACCAGCATTTTGATAAACTCTTAAAGTTTAAAACAACACAATCAAGAGGATTGTTTTTCTCCTCTTTTTCATAGAGAACTGAAGTGAATATTTTTAAATGGCTTTGAAAGATTACATTTGACACATTTCTGTAAATCCAAAAAAGCACACAGGATTTAATGCAATAGACCTGCACACATCTTCCCTTTAGCATGCATGCCTGTATTTTGTTGATTTCAGGAGCTAATCCTATCAATTATTCCACCTCCTTTACTTCCTGGAATCTTACTGCGTTATTAGTGATGTGGATTGTTCCTCCTTCACAATGTGTTGAATAATAATCATAATAACATGTTGAAAGTGTACAACTTTTACATTTTAACATTCTGATATTAATTATTATTTGATTAAAAATAAGAGAGTAAAACTTCACTTTGAGGAAATCTATTACACTGAAATTTCCTTCAAGTTTCCATATTCAGTTTCCATGCAGCTGTCCTATTAAGGAAAGCAAAGATCTACTCCTTAACAAAGCTTTCCAGGTAACCTAACGTTTCCATTTCACAGAGCGGTAAAACCTAAACACAGGCTGTCTCAGTCCTTGGGGCAGGTTGCCAGGCATCAGTGTGCAATTAGTTAACATTCTATAACCCCCACCTTCAGTCCTTCCCAAACCACACAAAGCTTCATGCCTCTTCCCAGATCTCAGTAACCACATCTTTCCATGACGCTAGCCAAAGACATACTAGGTTTTAGACATTTAAGAGATTGAAATGAGCTCATCCACCAAAAATTAGACTTGAAAAAGTTTGGCACTGGTTATCCCACTCAACATCTCACCAACTTAGGTGGAAGGAGAAGTGTATCTGGGCTTTATAGCCTAGTGCGGAGGGAGGCCGGGCTGTCAGCGCCCACATCCGAGGCCTGCCTGGACGCAAGAGGAGAGGTTCTCGACAGTGAAATACTCAGCTTCATGGGGACAAGCTTGCGCAAACTGCCGGGACAAAGGCAGACTTGGGGTGGAGGGTTGGGGGGAACGGAGTGCGGGCCCACCCCAGGATCTGGAAGCTTTGCAGAGCTCAGTACCAAAGGCGTCCAGACCCCAAGCAACCAAGGGAGGGAGCAGAAAGCAGAGGCGGAAAGTGACCCGGGCCGCGCAGCCCCAGACGCACCCCACCCACTGCAGGGAGGTGCGCCAGGACCTGAAAGAGCACCCAGAGGGTGCACTCAAGTTTTCTCTCTGCACTACTCCAAAAAGAGTAGGAAGGAAAAGCCTCAAATGGTTTAACTGCCCTAAATAATTAAAATTTAAACCAAAAAAAGAAAAAATGGAGAGAAGAAAAACGCGTGATCGGTCGTCATTTAAATACAAATATACTTACAAAAATCTTACACAGGCTATTTACAATCATAAAAGCGTACAGTCCCAGTACCAGAGTGTGGGCGCGAGAGAGGTCTGTCCATCCCTCTTTGGCAGTTGTGCCCTCGAGTCCGTTTGCCCCCAGGGACAGAAGCTTCTGCAGGAGCTGTGCTGTTAAAAGGTGCCTGCACAAGTGAGTGGCTAGTGAGGAAGGCTCGAGTAGCCAGGCTTGGCAAGGATTCCAGGGGGCCAGCTTTGGTGGGGGATGGGAGGCCAGGGCTGGGACCAGGCCGGGTGCTGGGAACAGGCTGGAACCCGGTCTCAGACGGTGGTCTCTCCCTGTTTGCTGTTGGTGAGCCTGGTGTAGAACTTCCTCCAGGAGTTGAGAGTCTTGCCAGACCAAATCCAGAAACCTGAAGTGATGCCCACAATCAGCGTCATAAGGTACTTGATCATGAAGACTGTGAAGTCTGGGCTCATGGGCGGGTGCGGAGGGGCACCTCCACCTGCCTGGAGGTGGGGGCAGGGGATGGCATAGCTCTTGCAGCTTTGGGCCACCCAGCTGCGCTCCCACTGGTCCCGGAAGGCCTGTTCATAGAAGTAGCAGGCAATGACGATTGTGGCTGGCACTGTGTAAAGCACACTGAAGACTCCAATGCGCACCATGAGCTTCTCCAGTTTCTCGGTCTTGGTGCCGTCGTGCTTCATAATGGTGCGAATGCGGAAAAGGGACACGAAGCCTGCCAGCAGGAAAGACGTGCCGATGAACAGGTACACGAAGAGTGGTGCCAGCACGAAGCCCCGCAGCGCGTCCACGTTGTTGAGCCCCACGAAGCACACTCCGCTCAGCACGTCGCCATCCACCTGGCCCAGTGCCAGGATGGTGATGGTCTTGATGGCCGGCACGGCCCAAGCAGCCAGGTGAAAATACTGGGAGTTAGCCTCAATGGCTTCGTGGCCCCACTTCATGCCGGCTGCCAGGAACCAGGTGAGCGACAGGATTACCCACCAGATGGAGCTGGCCATGCTGAAGAAGTACAGCATCATGAAGAGGATGGTGCATCCCTCCTTCTTAGTGCCCTGCGCCACCGTGCGTGCCCCGTCCTCGGCGAACTTGTCGTTACACACCACCCGGTCCTCTAGCAGGAAGCCCGCGATGTAGGCCACCGCCACTGCCGTGTAGCAGCCAGACAGGAAGATGATAGGCCGCTCCGGGTAGCTGAAGCGCCTCATGTCCACCAGGTACGTGAGCACCGTGAAGAGCGTGGAGGCGCAGCACAGCACTGACCAGATGCCGATCCAGGTGCGCGAGAAGCGCAGCTCTTCCGGCCCAAAATACATTAGCCCGTACACTTTGGTCGGCTCGCAGGGCGCGCCGCAGTCCTTTTCCCCCAGGAAGTGGTAGTTGAGGTAGGAGGGCACCTTGAGGGCGCGTGGGCACGAGAACTTGCCTCGCTCCGACGCGCCGGCGCCCCCGGGGAAGCCACCGCGGTGCCCCCCGCCGCCGTGCTGGGGATTGCTGGTCCAGAATTCTGGCAGCAGCGAGGGCGTCGGGGTGCCCTTGTCCGAAGTGTTCTGGCCCACGCACAGCTCCCCGGCGCCGTGCACCGGGAACTTCTCGCACTTTAGCGTCTCAGGCCACTGGAAGCCGAACTTGTTCATGAGCGCCTCGCAGCCTTGGCGCGCGCGCTCGCAGAGGGAACGGCAGGGCGGCAGAGCCTGCTCCAGCACTGTGCACACGGGCGCGTACATAGAGCACAGAAAAAACTTGAGTTCGGCCGAGCACTGCACCTTCACCAGCGGGTAGAACTGGTGCACCTCCAGGCCCGCATCCTCCTGGTTCGTGTGGCCCAGCAGGTTGGGCATGATGGTTTGGTTGTACGCGATGTCCGTGCACAGCGGGATGGAGATGGGCTGGCAGTATCCGTGGTCCGGGATGGAGATGCCCCGCTCGCCGTTGTACTGTTGCCCGCTCTGTTGCTGCTGAGGCGGCGGCGGCGGGGGCTGCTGGCCCGGCCCGGGCCCCTGGCCCGCCGCCTGCGCCCGGACCCCCAGCAGCAGAGGAGCCTCCAGCAGCCAAAGCAGTAGCAGCAGCCTGCAGGCCAAGCGCCCGGAGTCAGCTGGGGGGCGGCTGCGGCGGGCGCCCGTGTCCCCGCTCCCCTCCGCCAGCGGTCCAGCGGGGAGCGCCGCGGCACAAAGTTCCCAGCTCGCGCCGCTGCCGGCGGCCCGGGACTTCTTAGGCGCCTCCTCCTCAGCCATACTTTCTCCGCTCCTTTCCTGGCGCCGCTCCGCTGGGGCCGGCGGTGGCGCGGCCGGCGGCGACTCCCCCTGAGGCCGAAGCGCTCTCCCCCGTGCCGGTGCCCGCCGTCGAGCCCGAACTGCGCTCGGCCCGCTCCCCAGGCGCCCGCTCCGCGTCCCGCAGCCACCGCCGCTGCGGAAACTTGCGATTCATGAAGCGTGGGCGGCGGGGAGAGCCCGGGTGTACCGGGCGCGCCGGGGTCGCGTCCCGCCTTCCTGGCCCCCGGCTCGCTGACTCCCCGCTGGCGGCACCGCGCTAGTGGCCGCGGCCCCGTAGAGCGCGCAACTCTCCGCGGCCCAGCGACCTCGGCTCCCCCCTGCGCCTCCGCCTCCTTCGCCGCCGCCGCCGCCTGACCATTTGTGTCAATCCCTCAACTCGCTCGCTCTTCTCTCCCTTGCGCGCCCTCGGACCGGTTTCCAGGCGCCCCGCAGTCTGCCTTTCACCGGGAGGGAGGAGCCTTGAAACCGACGCGGAACTGGAGGCTCAGGGACCGTCGCCCAATCGCAGCATCGACTTCCCGGCGCAAAGGGCGCCTGCCGCCTGCTTCCCCGAGCGAAAGTCGGCGGCGGGCGGGAGGAGGAGGAAGTGGTCGCAGAGGCACCGCTCAGGCACAAAGAGTGCGTTTGCTGTGAAGCGAGACAGGCTTGGTTGCTTTTAGTTTTGAGGAAGAAAGGGCGAAGACAAGTAGGAGAATGGTCCCATATGCTGGAGATAATGAATGGGAGTCGGCGGACTTACCTTTGCTTTTCTTTTACCCATTTTCATGTTTAATCCTGCTCTTAACGCCGGTTACAAAAAGCAGACCGAACGGTACAGTCAGTACAGATGCCTATGACTTAAGGAGCACACGGCTTCCTTTGAGTTTGTTTGTCGAGGTTTTGTTAAAAATACTCCTCATATATCCTAGAGCTCTCGGGCTGTGTTTGGCGGGCTTTGGACGCGCCATTACCGCCCTCCCCGCCCACCAAAGTTCACGGGATCTCTGTGAGATGAAGGCAAACAACCAAACACGAGCACGAGGTTTGAGGGAATTTAAAAAGTAAAGCCAGATGCGCCGTCGGCTACTATTCTCCTTCTTGTAGTCAAATTCCTTTTTCATCTCCATTATCAAGTCAGAAGCAAAGAGAAACCACCGATTAAATATTCAGAGAGAAAAACTTGAGAACCAGACGACCTCTTTTCGGGAGTGTCCTCGCTACTCGAGACCCCAGAAGGTGGCTCGGGCTGGCGTTGCTCTTGGGGGCAGCCTGGGCCCTTGGTAGCTACTGGGAGCCTCGCAAAGCAGGGGCACCCACTGCTCTGGGGGAGCTCCCCCTTGGAATTCAGTGAAGTGCCCTGAGCTGGACTGCAGTGTGGTCTTCCACTGGCACGCACAGCTGGGGATGTCAGGCTTAAAAACAAAGTCTGAAAGCAAAAAGCAAACTGCACACTCCTAATTCCAAACAATACAATCCATCTCAGCTGACTTACATTCTTGTTGCTTTCCATGTAAGAAGAATAAACTGACTCAGTTTTATCAATAAAGTGCCATTGTATTATTAATCCTACGTAGGATTTGTGGCCTATGATTACACTTTCTTGGGATACTTTTCTACAATTATTTTCTATTTTTTGTTTATCCAGTCATTTGTCTAATAATAAATACTCACCAAGCCCCTATTATGCTATAAGCACTGGTAGGTACTAGAATACAAAGGTGAACCAGATGGGTAGAGTACAGTGGGGCACAGAAATGCAGATCAGTTACCATAATGCCTATCTCAGAGCTGCAGGAACACCAGGGAAGCAGCCAGCCACTGGAAACCCATGGGGAGGTTTCTGAGGGAGAGGTGGGTGGAAGGTGTCAAAGACAGGAGGTCTGAAGTACTTACATTGCTGAAAGCAGAAAGGGGGGCAGGATAGTGAATATTTCTGAGTTGTTATGTGGAAGGCAGAAGTTTTAGTCCATACTAAAACGTTTGGGCTGAATTACATGGATGACAGGGAGCTGCAGAATATCACTTTTTCCCACATGAACAGCGGTTGGCTTCAAGGTGACTGTGAAAGAGGGAACCTGGGACCTATTGTCACTGGGAAGCATGAACATTAGTCTAGACATGGAGGTCTAACCATAAGGTGGGTGTTACTTGTGCTACATACCAACAGAGCATGTGAATTTCATCACCATGCATGATAGTGTCTCCAAAGAATGTGCAGTCATATCTTTACCTGTTGGAATGGTATATATTTATCTCAAATACATATACTATCATTTCTCAAATATTTATGGATGTAGTAATTCCACAAAAAGCACATGTGTATGTATGTGTGTGTTGGCAATAATTCATGAAGGATTTTGATATAAAAAGGAAGTTGGGAAACACAGGTGCTCTCTGAGGTCCTGTAAGCACTCATAATCCATAACTGCTCATTTTTACCCTCCAGCATCCAGACCCATAGTCTCCCAGGGACACTTTTTTCTCTAGCCTTCCACTCTGATGCTCATGCTTCTGCTGATAGTATCCCATTCTTCAAAATTTTACCAAGCCACCTTCCTTCTACGATTCCTTTCTTGTAAAGGCTTGTCTTGTGTTCCATTCTCTCAAGGTTATTCTTGGTGACTGGGCTGGGTGTAAAGTGAATCTATTCTAATGTGTTAATTATAAGAAGCATCACATGCTTTAAGCATCCACCATCTCCATCACTCTAAACCCTCCCTCTCCTCCCTCAAGGGAAAAGGCACAGGGAATATGGCAAGGTGCTCAATTCTGTTCATCAGAGCAGGTAACACTCCCCTGCTTCAGAAGTCATTCCAGTGAAATTCTTGAACTTGTTTTATCTTCCACTGGACAATGGCGTTTACTAGGAAGGAGGCTCAGAAATACTGTCAGAGTTAAAAAGAAAAAAGAGGTCATTCTTAACCACATAATGGAACTGGAAGATACCAAAGATGTTATCTAGGAACTAGTTCAAAAACGCGTGATCGGTCGTCATTTAAATACAAATATACTTACAAAAATCTTACACAGGCTATTTACAATCATAAAAGCGTACAGTCCCAGTACCAGAGTGTGGGCGCGAGAGAGGTCTGTCCATCCCTCTTTGGCAGTTGTGCCCTCGAGTCCGTTTGCCCCCAGGGACAGAAGCTTCTGCAGGAGCTGTGCTGTTAAAAGGAGCCTGCACAAGTGAGTGGCTAGTGAGGAAGGCTCGAGTAGCCAGGCTTGGCAAGGATTCCAGGGGGCCAGCTTTGGTGGGGGATGGGAGGCCAGGGCTGGGACCAGGCCGGGTGCTGGGAACAGGCTGGAACCCGGTCTCAGACGGTGGTCTCTCCCTGTTTGCTGTTGGTGAGCCTGGTGTAGAACTTCCTCCAGGAGTTGAGAGTCTTGCCAGACCAAATCCAGAAACCTGAAGTGATGCCCACAATCAGCGTCATAAGGTACTTGATCATGAAGACTGTGAAGTCTGGGCTCATGGGCGGGTGCGGAGGGGCACCTCCACCTGCCTGGAGGTGGGGGCAGGGGATGGCATAGCTCTTGCAGCTTTGGGCCACCCAGCTGCGCTCCCACTGGTCCCGGAAGGCCTGTTCATAGAAGTAGCAGGCAATGACGATTGTGGCTGGCACTGTGTAAAGCACACTGAAGACTCCAATGCGCACCATGAGCTTCTCCAGTTTCTCGGTCTTGGTGCCGTCGTGCTTCATAATGGTGCGAATGCGGAAAAGGGACACGAAGCCTGCCAGCAGGAAAGACGTGCCGATGAACAGGTACACGAAGAGTGGTGCCAGCACGAAGCCCCGCAGCGCGTCCACGTTGTTGAGCCCCACGAAGCACACTCCGCTCAGCACGTCGCCATCCACCTGGCCCAGTGCCAGGATGGTGATGGTCTTGATGGCCGGCACGGCCCAAGCAGCCAGGTGAAAATACTGGGAGTTAGCCTCAATGGCTTCGTGGCCCCACTTCATGCCGGCTGCCAGGAACCAGGTGAGCGACAGGATTACCCACCAGATGGAGCTGGCCATGCTGAAGAAGTACAGCATCATGAAGAGGATGGTGCATCCCTCCTTCTTAGTGCCCTGCGCCACCGTGCGTGCCCCGTCCTCGGCGAACTTGTCGTTACACACCACCCGGTCCTCTAGCAGGAAGCCCGCGATGTAGGCCACCGCCACTGCCGTGTAGCAGCCAGACAGGAAGATGATAGGCCGCTCCGGGTAGCTGAAGCGCCTCATGTCCACCAGGTACGTGAGCACCGTGAAGAGCGTGGAGGCGCAGCACAGCACTGACCAGATGCCGATCCAGGTGCGCGAGAAGCGCAGCTCTTCCGGCCCAAAATACATTAGCCCGTACACTTTGGTCGGCTCGCAGGGCGCGCCGCAGTCCTTTTCCCCCAGGAAGTGGTAGTTGAGGTAGGAGGGCACCTTGAGGGCGCGTGGGCACGAGAACTTGCCTCGCTCCGACGCGCCGGCGCCCCCGGGGAAGCCACCGCGGTGCCCCCCGCCGCCGTGCTGGGGATTGCTGGTCCAGAATTCTGGCAGCAGCGAGGGCGTCGGGGTGCCCTTGTCCGAAGTGTTCTGGCCCACGCACAGCTCCCCGGCGCCGTGCACCGGGAACTTCTCGCACTTTAGCGTCTCAGGCCACTGGAAGCCGAACTTGTTCATGAGCGCCTCGCAGCCTTGGCGCGCGCGCTCGCAGAGGGAACGGCAGGGCGGCAGAGCCTGCTCCAGCACTGTGCACACGGGCGCGTACATAGAGCACAGAAAAAACTTGAGTTCGGCCGAGCACTGCACCTTCACCAGCGGGTAGAACTGGTGCACCTCCAGGCCCGCATCCTCCTGGTTCGTGTGGCCCAGCAGGTTGGGCATGATGGTTTGGTTGTACGCGATGTCCGTGCACAGCGGGATGGAGATGGGCTGGCAGTATCCGTGGTCCGGGATGGAGATGCCCCGCTCGCCGTTGTACTGTTGCCCGCTCTGTTGCTGCTGAGGCGGCGGCGGCGGGGGCTGCTGGCCCGGCCCGGGCCCCTGGCCCGCCGCCTGCGCCCGGACCCCCAGCAGCAGAGGAGCCTCCAGCAGCCAAAGCAGTAGCAGCAGCCTGCAGGCCAAGCGCCCGGAGTCAGCTGGGGGGCGGCTGCGGCGGGCGCCCGTGTCCCCGCTCCCCTCCGCCAGCGGTCCAGCGGGGAGCGCCGCGGCACAAAGTTCCCAGCTCGCGCCGCTGCCGGCGGCCCGGGACTTCTTAGGCGCCTCCTCCTCAGCCATACTTTCTCCGCTCCTTTCCTGGCGCCGCTCCGCTGGGGCCGGCGGTGGCGCGGCCGGCGGCGACTCCCCCTGAGGCCGAAGCGCTCTCCCCCGTGCCGGTGCCCGCCGTCGAGCCCGAACTGCGCTCGGCCCGCTCCCCAGGCGCCCGCTCCGCGTCCCGCAGCCACCGCCGCTGCGGAAACTTGCGATTCATGAAGCGTGGGCGGCGGGGAGAGCCCGGGTGTACCGGGCGCGCCGGGGTCGCGTCCCGCCTTCCTGGCCCCCGGCTCGCTGACTCCCCGCTGGCGGCACCGCGCTAGTGGCCGCGGCCCCGTAGAGCGCGCAACTCTCCGCGGCCCAGCGACCTCGGCTCCCCCCTGCGCCTCCGCCTCCTTCGCCGCCGCCGCCGCCTGACCATTTGTGTCAATCCCTCAACTCGCTCGCTCTTCTCTCCCTTGCGCGCCCTCGGACCGGTTTCCAGGCGCCCCGCAGTCTGCCTTTCACCGGGAGGGAGGAGCCTTGAAACCGACGCGGAACTGGAGGCTCAGGGACCGTCGCCCAATCGCAGCATCGACTTCCCGGCGCAAAGGGCGCCTGCCGCCTGCTTCCCCGAGCGAAAGTCGGCGGCGGGCGGGAGGAGGAGGAAGTGGTCGCAGAGGCACCGCTCAGGCACAAAGAGTGCGTTTGCTGTGAAGCGAGACAGGCTTGGTTGCTTTTAGTTTTGAGGAAGAAAGGGCGAAGACAAGTAGGAGAATGGTCCCATATGCTGGAGATAATGAATGGGAGTCGGCGGACTTACCTTTGCTTTTCTTTTACCCATTTTCATGTTTAATCCTGCTCTTAACGCCGGTTACAAAAAGCAGACCGAACGGTACAGTCAGTACAGATGCCTATGACTTAAGGAGCACACGGCTTCCTTTGAGTTTGTTTGTCGAGGTTTTGTTAAAAATACTCCTCATATATCCTAGAGCTCTCGGGCTGTGTTTGGCGGGCTTTGGACGCGCCATTACCGCCCTCCCCGCCCACCAAAGTTCACGGGATCTCTGTGAGATGAAGGCAAACAACCAAACACGAGCACGAGGTTTGAGGGAATTTAAAAAGTAAAGCCAGATGCGCCGTCGGCTACTATTCTCCTTCTTGTAGTCAAATTCCTTTTTCATCTCCATTATCAAGTCAGAAGCAAAGAGAAACCACCGATTAAATATTCAGAGAGAAAAACTTGAGAACCAGACGACCTCTTTTCGGGAGTGTCCTCGCTACTCGAGACCCCAGAAGGTGGCTCGGGCTGGCGTTGCTCTTGGGGGCAGCCTGG